AAAACATTCAAGTAAATTAAATTCAAATAGAAAACCACGCTCACTGATTTTGCAGTCCGTATGTCACAGTCAAACGCAAAACGCGTGAGAAAATTAAACAACGCATAGATCGGTGATTGTGTCAACGCTTTCCATTTCACTTGAGAGCCTGACACGGTTGCTCTGGCTCTTCTACTATAGTGTCCGTGTGTACTCGAGACGTAGCGCAAATAGGTTAGGTACGTTCCCATCGTCTGATTGCTCTGATGTCCCGGTCTAGTCAAATGGGCAAATCGAATTATTAGGTAGTGATGTGATTGTGAGAAACACCACATCTCTTTGTATTACGTGATACGACATTATATGAGAAGCGTAGTGCGGTAACTTCGAAGACAATCCGATTATAGTGCGATGTGTATGAAGTTTTAATTCGATTTTGATACTTAATTTTATTGTGCGCTCCAGTGACGCGACTATGTTGTTGATACTTGGGAAATGATTTATTACGGTGCCGGGATTGTAAGTCAATTTGTGCGAGCTTGAAATTGACGAAGCTCATACGAACTTTATGATCGGTACCTCATCATCTCGTAAATGTCAATAGAAGAGAGAAACGATGACATTATTATCTATTTTTTCGAAAGACTGTGCGTATTATTGCTTGTACTTTGTAGGTATAACTTCGGTCAGGAGAGGTCCAGTTAATCATGATAGGGAAAATCTCAGCTCGCGGCTAGTGGTGCAGAATTTCTATCAGAATTGTTGATGGATAATGATAGATGAGGGTCTGTGGTTAAAGCATAATAGTTACACCGACCCGAAAAAGCAAATAGTCATTCCATAAAATTGAACATAGGTAATAATATTACTACCATCTTTAAACACCGTCCGCCGGTCCGTGCAGTCCGGTTCAATATGAAGTGTCAATATTTGGTATCGCCAACGATGCGAACCGAGTCTGTCGAATCGATTCGCATCCGATAATTCCAGGTATCGAGTGAGGCTTAATTGGGGATCGAGTTGTCGTCGCAACGTTGAGTAGACTAGGGAGCGATGAGCGAGGGCACAATAGGTGTTACAGGTAACGTGTGGGTGTTACGTGCTAGTTCCGCGGGATTAATATTAAAAGGGGATACCATCTGTGATAGGTAACACGATAATTATCAATATCCTCAAATAGATATAAATAAATCTTGACGTAAAATGAAAGGACGCTAAACAAGGAAATGTTTTAACAAAAGAGGAAAAAATACCTCTGGGAAATACTCTAACGATAACTGTACTTGATACAGGTTAATAACAGTTAATACTGTCGGCATTAAATAGTGTCGGCAATTTACTATAGAAATATTAAGGAAATACAATTCAAAAACTAAATCACAATAAAAGGAAAATCTAATAACAAAGTTCAGAGTTGAGCGTTGATATTAACCGTTATAAAAATATGCCCATTTTATCCTTACTACGGGCTAAAAATACTCAGAAATCTAACAAAGTTACCAACAAATGAACAGTATTATAGAATCACTGTCAATTTACTTACGAAGTTACATTTCCTAACAGCTTTGCGAATAGCTCGATATGAGAGTCGCGGCAAAATATAGAACTAAAAATAAAATTGAATCTGATATTTTGTTCTGTCTGGCTTGTTGGATCAATGATAAGTAATACAGACGTTGGAATTATGGACGTACTGCATGAAATAAAAATGCATAGTTACTGGTAATGACTATAATAATAAGCTCTAATTAAACGTAACATAACCTAACATTTTTATTTATAGTTTAGAACTAGAGTAATTTAAATAACGTATTTTAGTACCTTTCCTGCATTAACAAGGCAACAAGCAATGACTGGTGGACCATAGACTGCGTCAAACCGAATATTGGAGTCATATTTTATCTGTATTGACAAATGTCAAGATTCGTTGGCCGCCATTGTTTGCGCAGCTCTCTACTGTCAAATGTGAATTAAGTTCGCTAAAAGCCCAGGTGTTAAAATGAACATTTTGAATGGTTGCAAGAGGACTAAAGTTGGAAATAAATTCATGGACTGTTTATTTGTTATTGACACAGAACTCGTTCGGAGCGGATTATTGGATCATTTAAATGAACTTGACAATAAGAGATTTCGAGTTTCGTAAATTGTATTTGTACATTTGTGAATAGAGATGGATAATGGTGGATAGAGACTTCAAGATTCTCCTTTCATTTTGTTTCCTTGTTTCCTAATGACTATATTATTGCTGAATAACGTAGATTAATGCTAGAAAATTTTCATCATACCATAAAAACGCATCAAAAAAGCCTAACATTTAAAATTCCACACTAAATATTTAGTGAAAATAAAAATTTCAAAGGAATTTTTAATTTGAAAACTATTCGGAAAACACAAGTTTGAACTTGCAGTGTGGAGGTGCGTTTTGCCATTGTTGTTTTTTTTTTAAACTCCTGAGAGGCAAAACATGGGGCACATCCTTTTAATTAAAACGGTGTTGTGAGGATCCGCAATGGCGCTCACAAATTAATTCATTTTGTTTTAGTTTCGTGTTATATTTACTCAAGTATTTATAAAAACCAGTTTATTATGGTCTCGCATTTTGTGATCTTTTCGAACATTTGAGGGTCAATTTATACTGGTTTTGCCTAGCTTGATATATTTATCTCATATACTTTATGTAAACGTTCCCATACACAACAATGGCGGCCGTTGATTTATTTTCGAGACGAAAGTGAATATTCCCATGATTTCAACAGCAATCGGTTATTATATGGTACACATGAGGACAGTTTCGTATTGTTATATATTTGTTTGTGTTATGATAACAATACTTTTGTTGATATTACCTATGTATTGTAATATTTGTAACTTAAGTATAAGAAAAAAATTAGACATTTTGACTATCGGCATTAATAACAAATCAGTCCGATTACGATCGATTTTTTTATGGAATTGGAGACAAACGAGCAGACGGATCACATGATGGTAAGCGATCAGCGCCGCCCATGGACACTCACAACACCAGAGGAGTCACAGGTGCGTTGCCGGCCTTTTAAAAAGGAATACGTTTCTTGAAGGTTTGAACGTCGTATTGGTTCTGAAATACCGCCGACGACAGATCCTTCCAAAATTTTGGTGTGCAAGGCAGAAAGCTACGTGACGTGCCAACCATCTAAATTTTAGACAGAAATACCATACAACTAATGTCAAGAATTGATCCATTTTTTTTTTAAGTGGGGAAAATCATCAAGAATTGATCCATATCAACAGATTTTGAATTGAGACAATTAATTATGGCCGTTAGCCTACTAGTCTTCACAGATCAAACTTCATATTATAAAGACGAAGAAAATATGGAAGTTCCCTTATCTTCAGTAAAATTACCGAATTGATTTTTTTTATGGCATAAGCCGGTAAACGAGCACACGGATGGTAAGCAATCGGCGTCGCCCATGGACACCTGGAACACCAGAGGCGTTACAAGTAAGCAAACAGATATATCAAGCGTTTGATGGATTTAATAAACGAGCTGCGTATTTTTTGTCCTGTTTAAATGGACAAAATGAACAATAACAGCTAACATATAGCTATCAAAAACCTATTTCCACAACAGACGATAAATCCAGTAGCAGGCAAAACAAAATGGAATACATGTAGTAATTGTTTCATAATAATTGCGTGACAAAATCATAAAACGTGTGACGCGAGTTTAATTCGCGTGAAAAATTTTGTAAACGCTCGCGATTCAATAACCGCAGTCGACGCATACAGTTACTGTTTTATTGCTTTTATGAGAATATTACTCGGAAATGTTTTAACGTATCATTTTGCAGAACATAAAATGCATTAGAGCAATGTCCGTTGCGCATTTACCAAATTAAATGAGGGTGATGGTTAACAATTTGTAGTCTCTTTAAATATGGTTGTCGTTTTTGACCGTGTTGTTCGTACTAATGGGCTCACGCATTACATGGGACTCGTAACATAAATAGTGAAACGTGGGTGTTACATTGTACAGTGCAATAATGTGCTAACCTACCCCTTCGGGGATAAAAGGCGTGATGTTATGTTGATCGTTCTTTTGGATTTTTATAACTATCATTGATAACTTGTTTTATTTTTTTTTTCACCTAAGGAAACAATCCGACAGCACATTGGGTGATCAACTGCGTTGTGTTAATTCGTCACCTGGATACAATAATACCCCACTATCTGTTGCCCGCTACTTCGCCCGCGTTGAATATGATTCCTGTTTTATCTTATGAGAGCATTTAATCGAGATAAAAAGTATCTCATCACCTAAGTCAGCCCATACCCTGCAGTTCACTAACGGGTAAACGGGGCTCCAGCTCGACGTGCAGGGGAAGGAACGGGGTGGTTTTTAGTCAAAGAGTCTGACACTCCCTCCCGCCTGACCCAGGCGGGAACAGTCATGCGATAATTTTCCCCCCTTAAAAAAACCCTGCAGTTCAGTAATTTCAGCGTGGTTGACAAACATCCAAACAAAGAAACTCTCACATTAATAATATTAGTGAGATTTCGTATCTATCTCCTAATTTAGGGATTAAATTCGCTGCTAGCATCCATCACCAACAACTTAATGAAAACTAAAACATCACTGTACGAAACCAATCTGTCCTACGGATATTGTTAGATTACCGTCTTGTTGTGGCATTCAATAATATTGGTTCGCTTTACTTAGTTTATAAACTTGGGAAACGTGAGCTCCATCGCTTGGAGGCATCATTATAATGGATATACACAAATATCTGGAGTTATGTTACTTATGCCGGAATTTATGGATGTATTCTATAGTGTATTGGTTATAATTTTACTAAAATAGGGGTGTTTCGCTAAATTAAGCAGATCACAAACTCTCGGTACTTAGCTGCTATTGAGTATAAACTTAACAATATTGTTTTAGAATCTATCTTTTGTATAATTTTCATACTTGACTTTATCAAGTCTTGAGCTATGCTTCGGCACGAATGGGCCGGCTCGACCGGAGTGATACCACAGCCTCACTGAAAACCGACGTGAAGCAACGCTTGCGTTGTGTTTCGGCGTGTGAGTGAGGTTACCGGAGGCCCAATTTTATTAACCATAACCATAATTTGTACAGTAACTCTTATATATAAAATTAATCGTTACAACATCATATAAAAAGTGAGTACTTAAGATGAAACTATGGTACCCAAGGTAAGATCAAACTTGTGTTATGGGTATATTGCCCTCCCCTTCCCCTTATATCTCCTTAATTCCTGAATCCCCAACGATCCTCAAACCCCTAATCCCTAAAAGGCTGGTAACGCACTTGTAATGCCTTTGGTGTTGTTAGATGTCCATGGGCGACGCCGATTGCTTACTATCAGGTGATCCGTCTGCTAGTTTATCGGCTTATGCCATAAAAAAAAAAACAACAAGTGGTTCAAATAGGATCCAAACTAGACCAATAACCCTCAAACACTATTTAATACCACCACAATAATATTCCAAAAGGTGCTCCACCAAAAAAGACATCTCAATATTAAGTCAAAGTTGAGCATTAAGTACCGAGGTGTAAGGTCAGGCGACCCTTTGAATATTTCACCGTTTCCAGGTAAATATATTTATCTTGAGGCAGATAGCGATGTGGCCGACAGAATTGAGATATGCTCAGGAATGCGGGTCTGTCCCCTGATCGATATTACCTTGGATTGTTTCGTCTGTCAGGCCGAGGGTCGAAGGGCCTTTTGTTCAAGACTTGCTTTATCAGTATTATGGAATATGGTGACTAAATTATTTGAGGTCGTCGATTTTGGGGTTGTGAATTAATCTGTATTAATTATTATTAACATAACATAACATCACGCCTTTTATCCCCGAAGAGATAGGCAGAGGTGCACATTATGCCACTGTGCAATGTAACACCCTCTTTTCACTATTTATGTTATAATCCCCATGTAAAAGGGGTGAGCCTATTGCCATATACCGGGCACAATTCCAGACTCCGTGCTACTACTGAGATTTTTAAAAACCCAGGTTACTTTGCCCGACCCGGGAATCGAACCCGAGACCCCTTGCCCGGCAGTCGCATCTGCGGCCAATGAGGCAGTTCTTTTTATGTATTTTATTAACACGTTAAACGCCATGGGGGTCATCGGTGACCGGCGTTAGCGGAGGATTTACCTTCAACTGTTTTTTATTTGCAGTCAAAGTCTTAATATATACCTAAGAATTTACTTTGAAAGCTTAGAACGAAAAGTCTTACGAAATTATCATCTGCTCATGTTTGCCGAAGTGAATAAAATAGCAAACAGCGCCCCTGGCGGAATGTAAAGTAACTAGATACCTGAGCTGTCAAGTTGTCACGGTAAATAAATTGACGTATTCTGTGATTTTTGTGTAACTTTGAAGTCGTAGTCGATTGATCGTTGAAAACCGGGACAGTTTGTCTCACTTAGGCCATGATGGAATCTGACAAGGTAACAGCAGAGATATGTACCTACATTTTGTAACTACCCCACACTTTTCGTGGGTGTCTTAAGAACTAACTAAAGGAATTACTTATCTACATCACACATACACATCAACAGCCTATAAATGCCCACTGCTGAGCAAAGCCTCTTCTCACACGGAGAAGGTTTGAGCATTAATCACCACGCTTGCTCAATGCGGGTTGGCTATTTCAAATTCACAATTAGAACATCACTCACGATGTTTTCCTTCACCGTTTGTCAGTGGTGTCTAAATAATCTTAGTAAGAACATATATTATTATAACTCAATAAAAGTCACATTGGTACTTGCCGTTGGTGGGTTTCGAACCGACACTCTCATGCATGAGAAACGGTTTTAAACCTTCGGGCCACCACGACATTTCAATTACTTATTTAACAAGTATCTATTGAGCAACAGCGCTCTCTGATAAACTTGATCCTTTTAATTACGATATCTGAAGAAGAAGAAGAATTTCTGTGGAAGCGGTCCATCATCCAGCAGCGAAGCCTCACAGGTCGTTAATAGAAGTCAAACTTGAATCTATTAGTTTGCCGATACGGAATCGCGGAAAATTTATTTTTTTATAGCACGACGGTGACAAAAAAGCACACGGCCCACCTGATGGCAAGCTTTACCGTGGCCTATGTACGCCTGCAACACTTGGGGCATTATATGCGTCTTGCCGACCCTTAAGAAACCTATTCACTCGTTCCGGCTTGAAGGGCAGGAGTAGGAACGGGGTGTTTTTTAGTCAGTATGGGTCCGACACTTCCTCCCGCACCACGCAGGCGGGAGAAGCAAATAAATCTATTATTTTAGAACAAACAATAGCTATTTTCATATCATTTACGAAGTTCTAAGTGTGTCATAGAAATGGTAACGCGATAGTACACGTGGAACCCTCGGCGGACCCATAGACAATCGGAGGCAAAACAATGACGGACGTGACATACACACCAAGACACATTTCTTGGTGGACCACTGATTAGTGAGTCAATGAAGTGATCATGGATGTGATGAATTAATTATTTAGAAGTAGGATAATCGATTTGAAGAAACACTTTCTCAGAGACATTTTCTATTTATATTTTCATCAAGAAAACTTAGTTTAATAGCGTACAAAATAATTTAATTTTATTTAAATTTCTAAGACTACGGCTAAGCAAACAGGAGGGTTAGGATTTCTGTATTAAATAAAATAGTGTTAACGTTTATACCTCTACAAACCATATTAATGAATTATTGTATTGTTATACTACATGCAAACCAGAGCACAAAATATCCAACTTCCAAGTATTTAATAATAAATAAAACGCGAATGATATTAACCCTCCATTGAAGCTTCCTACTCTGTGTACATCCTATCAACAGCTCAAGGCGCAAAGTCAGCATAACAGATGCATTGTTGTCACATATACGTGACACCCGGCGTAGGGATGGCACCCAACGCTTACGAGATTTGTATCGTGAATGTCACAAACTTTAGTTTTCAATTAAATTACGCCAGTGTGAAACATTCCTGTGTCTGTGACGTCACATTCGTGATATCATGTCGAGATTTCAGAAGTTTATTTTGATGTAACGTGTCGTACTTTGTTTTGGGTACTTTGGTACACACGGCCACACATCAATCTATACAAAACCAGTTTATCCTGGGGTCGCGTCGCATCATCTTTCCGCACATTTAATGTTCAGTTTATACTGGTTATGTAAAGCTCGATGTGTAGCCGTGTGTACTTTTAGGTACTTTAAAGTTTTGTAAGGTGTGTTTTGTAAGTTTGTGCCTTAGTTAGTGGCCATTTCATGTGTTAGTAAGTTAGTGGTAAGTGGTAGTTCTGTACTGTAGTAGTTATTGCTTTTGTGAATAAGTAACGAGGTTATGAAATTCGGAAAACATTATATGGAGGAGGAATTGCTAATACATAATTATTCAAATCAATTGAGAAGGCGTTAATGGTGGTACATGTACGGAAAATTATTAACTCGTTTCATATTTAACATGACACACAAATAAGGATACTAAGCTTCAATTTTCCCCAACTGAACATACGCAACAAGCAAAATATTAACAAAAATAACGTAGTGATCAACCCTATAACGCACACACTTAAACGACATTCTTATATTCACGGCACACTCGCACATTTCACCTGTCATCGCGAACATTTCCTGTGCACACCACATGAGTTAGACACACACACACACAAACTGATACATCTTACGACGTATTTAACGCACACATAGAAAACATTTTCAAACCGCGAATGTGTACACTTGTAGAGGATTGATATAAAGTGTCGCAGATGTTTCGTGAAATCGGTGAATTATGTAAATGGCTGACGATTTTTTTTCTATGGCAACATTTTTATTGGTCGAACATGGAGGGACGAGCGGATTTAATTGCGCATTTTGTAATTAATTTTATTTCGGCCGTTGTGGCTGGCAGGCGGGTGACATGGTTTAAGGGTTGAGAGTAGCGTCATTATGTTATATAGAAATGATATAAATTAGGGGGAACACGTTAGCCGCAGAATGAGTGTAATTTTATTTTAATTTACTATTAAATTCTTGCTTTATTTTTGAATCACGCAGTGGACTCGATAATCCCTTATAAACATTTTAAACAAACACATGTGTAGAAACTTTTAGGACTTCCACAAGTTTTAGTAGCATTACATAATATTAGACATACTCTAAAAAATATGCCGCCTCATTGGCCGAGTGGTCGCAAGAACGACTGCTGGGCACTGGGTTTTTTAAAAAAAATCCTCAGTAGTAGCACGGAAATGTGCCCGGTTTATGGCAATAGGCTCACACCCTGTTACATGGGACTCAAAACATAAATAGTGAAAAGTGGGAATTAAATGTACAGTGGCATTAAGTGCTACATATACACACCTCTGCCTACCCCTTCGGGGATAAAAGGCGTGAAGTTTTGTTTATGCGTGTGTCTAAAAAATATCAGACATTTTAATCCCTGTCTGATTTTGACAATAGACAGCGACATTTGTAAGTAGAACAATAGGTACCATTTAGCGACAGCAGCGTCGCATAGGTGCTAACTTTCTTGAAATATGACGTCACACCGACTATAATATATGTTTAGCGTACATGGGTATGTAGGCATGAACCTACTGTTAAAATGCGTCAAATCACAGATTAAAAGAGTTGAACATTTTACTTTTATTTTTTTTGTAACCAACGAAATGAAAAAGTATACACGTAGACGATATGTATACTTTTTGTCATATGTTATATATATATTTTTTTAATTTGATTGCACGGAACAAGTCTTTGTGTGATTTTCAGATTGTTTTCGGGTCCGGGTGTCATTTGTATGTGAACTTGTATGTTTGTAAACGCACCCACGACACAGGAGAAAATCTTAGTGTGGGGCAATGTCTTTTTAAAAGAAAGAAAATGTAGATTGTCTATCCTGGTTATCTATATATATAAAAGAAAGTCGTGTTAGTTATACTATTTATAACTCAAGAACGACTAAATCGATTTGGATGAAAATTAGCGGGGTGGTAGCTTAGAACCAGAAGACGGACATAGGATACGTTTTATCTAATTTTTTTTACTTTTACCAAAAAGTCACGAACAGGAACGGGGGGGAAATGGGATTGCGCGTACGAAGTCGCGGGCAGAAGCTAGTATTATTATAAACTCATGTATCCGTACCTATCCTTTTTATTTGCATAAGACTTGATAGATAAGCTACCCATAATTTTAACGCTCATAGATCGACTATAGTTTAATCAAAACAAAACAATATTGAGTTCTGACATTTATACAAACAAGCAAAAAATTTGTAGATTTTTAT